TCTTTCTCTCTCTTTCTCTCTCTCTCTCTCTCTCTCTCTCTCTCTCTCTCTCTCTCTCTCTCTCTCTCTCTCTCTCTCTCTCGCTCGCTCGCTCGATGTGAATACCCTTACAATGGTATCCGCCCTGGTTTTTGCGAGTGACAAAAAATAAGTTTAGTTTAAAATTTGAGTATACCGCGTGAGGGCGCGGTTGTGTTTTGAGTACGGTGACTATATGGTTGACTAGAGTAGAGTGTGTGGGCGCGCAAACTTAAAACTTGTGTGATCTCTGTCTTATTGATGATCATAGAGATGACGTAGTGCTGACCAAGTTTTTATTTATTCATGTACATATGCAGGAGGAACGAGTTGTTGCACGGTAGGCACAAGGTTTGATGGTCTCGGACTTAGAGGACGGGCCGAGGGAAGACTTTGGAGTGCTTCAGTACGCCGGCTCGCCGCGTGGCACTATAGTTGTCCGGTACTACTAAGCTCAACCTTTGGCCTAACACTTTTGGTTACGACACCGGAGTTTCGGCAAAGAGATTCAGGGATCGAGCTCAGCAAGTGGCGGCATTGGAGCATCAGAGCAGCGCGAAGGAACAAAGGGGTTGAGGGCCCGACGGGGCTATCCCCCATGGTTTTGTTGCACAGGGCCGAGGTGGTATTTGCAACTTCTTTTTCCCCTCGCCTCGCTGTTTTCCTTTTTATTTTTGTAATTAATATTTTTATCTTTGCTATTAGTATTGTATTTTTGCTTCGTTATTTTTTCCAAGTTGGGCACGCCATCGGAACCGATGAGTTTAACATCCATGCTTGCAGATGGCGGTAAGTTGTACCTCGCGTAGGCCCTATCCTGTTGTAGGGGCTCACGAGAAGTATGGCTGGCGCACTCAGAAGGAGCGGCTACGGAAGCTCCATTTGTACCGCGATAAAATGATGAAAGTCCTGCCCTCAAATCCTGCGTGACGCGGCCGGGAGGGTCTCCCTGCGGGACCGATGCGCTCGACACTTTGTGTGTGGTAGCCCCCCCCCCCTCCCTCTCTCTCTATCTCTTTTTTTTTCTCGCTCTCACTCTCTGTCTCTCTCTCTCTCACCCATATC